TGGAAGCTTTGTACCTCTATTCTTCAGACAGTATATGTTACCCTTTCAAGATTTATCTATGGTGGAAAAATAAAAAATAAAAATGAAGAAGAAGAAGAAGAACAGATGCGTTATTTGGAAACTGAAATGCTTGAGGTTGTAATACTGATTCATATACATCAAATTCATTGTTGTTTGCTAGGAGATTAGTAGTCGTACAGAAGGCCATGATGATTTAGCACAATGCATCAAAATCAATCGTGCTAGATGCATAATTTCCCTTGGTGGTCATACAGAAACCATCAAAATCTACCTTTTTTTATTTTTTCTCTTAAAATCATTTTTCTAGAATTGAATTGTATTGGTACGAACAATGCATTATCTTGATGTTCGGATACTGAAATTACAAAGCTTAAAGTAGTGCAAATGGTATTTAGCGCTCAGAACTTCAAACGGCAACCATTGAAGCAAAGCTCGGATTTTAGAATGACAAAGCTCAAAGTGAAGCAAATTTGTATTTAGCTCTCAAAACTTGAAATGGCAGCCATTGAAACTGAGCAGTCTGGGGCATGTTAGACCGAGTACATTTGTGTTATATAATGAGTATGTTGCTAACAAAGAGCATTTCAAGTAGAATTTGCAAGTACCAGCCAAGGAGTTGCCAATGTCTGTAGACAAAGAACCTGGGAATCATCTTCGTCAATTTTCAAAATAAGTTTCTTAGTAGATATTAGCCTGACCTAGTGCGCAGGTCCAAACCTTTCATGCAATGGTGATATCACGTTCTTTCCATAACAAACATGTGAGTAGAACTTTCAGAAAGGAAAATGACTAAGGAACAATAGTTTGAGCAATGTATAATACTTTTATGTAGTCTTATATGCTATTTAATAATTAATTTTTTTCACCTTACCAATATCTGTAATATTATATATATTTATTCACTTAATAACATATTTAAGTTATATAAAAAAATTATACAAAAAAATTATCCACTTAGCATTATGTGAAATCATCAAAGATATATAGTGGTAAAAAGGAACAAGATCACTTAATTATTATTTTTATTACATGTAAAAATTTCTTACTTTGTCAGACTTAATTTTCCATATTTCTTTACAAATTTCCCTCCATGAGATTTAGAAAAAAAAAAAAAATTGTTGAATCTAGATTCTCTCTGTCCCACCAACTAATCAAACTGTCAAACAGAACCAGAAGTCAACTCTTTTCTTCCATTCTCATCTCCCCTGGAGTATGCATGCTCCTAGCTCATACCCTTCACATCTGTTTCAGATTTTAGTATCACCAATCTGCTGAATCACCATAGCACTTCTCCTTTCTCCCAATTTTCATTATCCTTCTTTAATCTTTCTTTTCTCAACTTTTCTGTTGCAGGCATGGATAATGCTGCAGGTCCAAATTTGTTACTACCTTTGCACCGTTGCAAAACTATTCACTTGGTAGGTATTGAATTTAGTTTTCCACTCATATTGTCAAATACATTGCAGATATGAAGCTGCATTATATATTTGGTTTGAACTTTGAAGGACATTCAGGGTCGATGGCCTTCTTTCTTCGCTTTTGCTCGCAAATCTAGGCATTGAGGTCTAATAACCTGATGCCTCCAGGTGAGGCATGCTCAAGGGATTCACAATGTAGAGGGAGATAAGAACTTTACAGCATTACTGTCTCCTGAGTATGCTGACGCGCATCTTAGCCGGCTAGGCTGGCAGCAGGTAGTAGTGTCCTTCCTGTATATGTATATAACAATGCAATCTAACTCAAATCATCTTAATGGGGAGAAATTTTTTTTACAGGTTGATAACTTGCGTAGGGATGTCCAAAATTGTGGCCTTACCAAGAGGATCGACTTAATCGTCATGTCTCCTTTAATGAGATACTGATGCAATCATTCAATGGATATGCATCTTTTCTCGCAGTCTTTTGAACCTGGCATTGCATTTTCGCAATAGAGTAAGTGGCTGTGCATTGATGTTGAAATGTTTGTATAGATTTCGTTGATCTTATAATGTTGTAGGACGCTGCAAACAGCTGTTGGAGTATTTGGTGGGGAGGGTTACACGGATAGGATGGATGCAGTTTCACTTGTGGTGACAAATGCAAGAAAAAGCAGCCGTGCTGCAATTTCTAGTCTAAACTCTCCTCCATTTATTGCATTAGATCTTTGTCGGGAACGTATGGTGCGTTTTGTTGCATTATAATTGACTTGAAGTTTTCAAATACCGTCTTTACTCTTTTTCTCAACATTTTTTCTGGTTGCAGAAAGTCACCCTTGTGATAACAGGATAAGTATCAGTGACTATCAGTTTCTTTTTCCTGCAGTTGATTTTTCACAGGCAAGTACTTAAGTTTTTTGGGATACACTCAAAAGTCAAAACAAATTACTTGTTTCAACTTGGTAGGTTTTGGTTACCTACACCTGATCAGGTCCGAAAACTGCTCATGTTAAACAATCCTAAGTTGATTTAAGGGTTTGCTCCATCTAAAATAGTAGTTTCTTCTCGATTTCTGCCTAATAATTTTCCAATGATGCTGTGTTGAATGATTATGAATTTCTATTCAGATATAAAGTGATGAGGACACATTCTGGGAGGCTGATGTTATGGAGCCAGTTGAAGATGTTGTAGCAAGGAGTTCGAAACTAATTATCTGGTGGAATAACTTATTCACTTTTTAATTGCATTTCTTTTTTTTCATTTTGGTTGAGAACTAAATGCTTAGCTATTGCTGATGTTTGAACCTCTAACTTCAACCTCAAAAAGGATTCAGAAATTAGTCGGTGCTCTTAAATTATGTGTTAGAGAAAGTTCTTCAAAACACACAACTCAAGTTCCAAATTTGCAGCTTGTTGAAACGGAAAGAGAACGAGATAGCAATTGTTAGGCATGGCGGATTCTTGGTTCATACATTAAGGGCATTCGGAAATGATAGCCATCCATTGCTGAAGGAGGAAATGTGCATACCGTAAGCATCCATCCTTCTTGCTTTAGTCATAGAAATTAAAATGGTGTTTGCCATGTTAGCTCCCCTTCTAAAAGGAAATGACTTTCATGCGCAGCTTCGCAAATTGTGAGCTTCGATCCATGGTTATTGTTGATAGAAGGTCAGCCTCTCTCATTGTGACGCCCCACCTCAAATCTCACTTGGGAGGATAATGTGAGTTTGAGCTTTTAAATCTCAGCTTAAAAGACTTTTAGGCCATTTTACTAGTTTTAGACAATATTTGCTACCCTTTCAAGAATTTTTTTTCACTATGGTGACAGCTACAAGAGGACAGAAAACTGATTCTTGTTATTTGGAAATTGAAGATATAGATGTTCAAATAATTCTACATAATGTGGATTATAAAACAGCAAATAACCCTCACCTATCTCACACCGCTCTATAATTTAAAAGTTTCACCTGACAAAGTTGATTTCACCATCAGTTTTCGCTTTTCTTTTCTCAAAGAATATTAACAATAAGTTTTCAACAAGCGAACAGCATTGTGGCAAGATACACTTTGCCAGTTCTTCACCAAACCATTTCTAGTTCGTCTTCAATACATTGTAGAAGGACACAGGCTTCTTCTTAGGCTCGGCACAGAGTTCCTGGAAATATGAGATCATTCCTTTTAAGTACAGATTTAGAGTTCACTTTTAAGTACATATAGGCTTGTTTTTTTACCTCTACCGCATGAGCCAAACGCAAAATTGAAGCTTCGCCCCATGGACGGCCTATCAGTTGCAAACCTATTGGAAGTCCTTGTTTGTCATAGCCAACCTGCAACAATCATTATCCCAATAGAATGAAGTTCTTCTCAGGAAAGTCAAAAAACCAACAGAGTTATCTGATTGGCCAAGAGATGACTTCTTTAGATGTAATTATTATAACTGAAGCCAAATGATGTAACAAGATACAAGAATTAAATATGAGAGTAACCAAATGACACAATAAAGCATTGAGTATATGTCATGGTGCCTAAATATCCACCCCTTTGTTCCCACCTAGTCAAATGTTTGTGTTAGATGTTTTAATGTATTGGATAAGTTACAATCTAACCCCAATTCTGCCATGGCAATTTTAACCTCCACTATCTTTCAAAATACATCTTCTGATGTGGGTTGTTTAACAGTTATTCTTAGGAGATAATACAATACAAAAAATCTGAGGTGTCTATAACTAGATGTAAATGGAACCCATGCTGCCCAGATTTAAATTAAGATGAAATAACTAGCATATATGTTCTTGATCTCAACATTGACGAGTGGTTAAGGTTTAGTCAGAGTATATGATACTTGGAGAGAGACAGCTTACAGGAACAGAAATGGCAGGAAGACCAAGAAGATTTCCAGCAATAACAAACCGCATGAGATAGCCTGCTCAAGGGAGCCATGCATCAGAACTTCAAAAGATAGTAAAAGCTGCAACGGTAAAAATATTAACCAGTGCCCATAAAATCACTATATTTAATATGGCTATGATGAAAAATTGAATTTATTTCTAGTCAAAAGTGCTGGCATTACCTGCTGAGACCCAACTTTTTTTTTCCTCCTCTTTCCTTACTATTATATTAACTTGGGCAGCATTACTTTTTAGGCATCAGCCTTCAGGATGTATCCCTAGCTTTCTCTTTAGAGAATGCATTCTTTCCTCTAATTGCTTAATCAATCACTATCATCTATCAGAATGTAATGTATCGCATAGGTCTGATATTCTCAAATACCCTTTCACCAAAGGCCAAAAGGACAAGAAAAGTTGAATCATCATAGCTTCCAAAAGTGGAGATTTAACAATTTAATGGTCCATTACCAATACAAAGTCAGTTGAACTCCCTAGTTTTTAAGAGACATTTTCCAAGAACAATACAAGGCAGTCATTTTTCTACCTATGCCCAAGTCATTACTTCCAATGTAAGTGCAGGGTTATGCCCAACATTGATCTAGCAGCCTTACAGTTATGTATCATGATCCTAGGAATTCTACTATTTAAGGGAAAGGAGAGATGATTTGTAAAGGCCTAACACAATATTTATGCAGTTCTGAAATTGAGAATGCTTCCAGACTCCATGCAAGTTATAAGGCATAAAGACTTCAGACTATGATTAATAGACTCTATTACAGATTTCAGAGTAGATGCTATTACCTCAGGCTTGCTAGATATCATTTCAACTTCATACAAAATAGTTGCAAGAAACAGTTAAAGGTAAAAACAAAAGAAAATTTTAATTGACAAACCTGAGACTTGCATGTTTGTCTCCCCCAGCTTCAAAGCACTGGCTGGAATTTTTGGTGCTGTCATGCTTTTATGCACAAGAAAGCAGAATAGTTCAGAATGTAGTTAAATAAAATATTATCTGATGAAAGTTATGCATGACAATTAAACTAAGCAGCACATCATGGAGGAAGTAGTTTCTGCAAACTTGAGAAATAATTTTGAATTACTTTCTCCCTGATATTTCAATGGCTTCAGGGGATTGTGAGCTACCAACCTTAGCATCACAAGACTAACATCCCACTTGAACTAAGCCCAATAGCTGCATATATCATATCATACAACTAATTCCTTAAGGGTCAGGTTATGAAAAGAGAGACCTGATTTGGTCCATCAATTCCCTTTTCTACAGACAATTATCTTATCAACAATAGACCTTATTAATCTGTTAATGAGCTAACGTCTATCCTTCCATACCCTGTTGTGGGGGTCACTATGACATCAACGCTCTTGAAAATCTCCATGTGGTAGTGCATTAACCTTCGCCTGAAAGGTTCAGAAGAATCAAATCAAATTGTAAGCAATAAGAACATACAACTGAAACAAAACTCTACCACAATTCTTGTAATTACATATAATCCAGTCAAAGATTTCACTAGTCAAACTGGAAGAAAAACTTGGACCAATGCTTTAGGCTTAGTTTGGCAATGCTAGGCTGTAGCTCCAGCTGTAGGTTTTTGGTCCTTTAACATCTCAAAAATATATAAAATATATTTACTATATTTAATATTTATTTTAATTAACATTTTTTATATTTTTAGAATAGTAAAAAGACATAAAAACCAAAA